TACAAAAACCATTTTGAAGTCGCTTCGTTGCCGGTGCCGTCTTCCACCTATACACACATGTCACAAGACAAACGCACCCCTCACGAAATATATCTTAATACTAATTTAATCAGAAATAAAAGTCTGTCCGACAATCACGCTCAGTTCCTCAATCATAAACAAGAAGAGAGATCACGCGTGCCTTAAGTCTGAGCGTCCACACACTCTCTACTCTAGTCAACCATCCAGTCAACGTAAACCACAGACGCAATCACGCCTCGTGCAGTATACTTAAATTGTAAAATCAAAATCATTTTCTGTCGCTTGGAAAAACCAAGGTGGATACCCTTGTAAGGGTATTCGCTCTGACAGCTTACCGGACCATGTTCAGCGATGTCCCCGTCGCTTCGTAAGATCGAAAAACTGTAAATCCATCCAAAACTCCAAATGTTGACGAGGAAGGAACCAATCCGATCAGCCGACGGACTCAGGTTTGAGGTCTCCAACAATCCTTGCCCATACAATTGTATCCTGCCAGGATTCTAACTTGGGTCTCCATTGTCTTGATACTAGGACGCCGGTGTACTAAACATACGTACTACAGCATAAGTTTTAGTGACCCTCTCAACCGTCCTCTCCCCGTTGTCCTAGACAAACATCGACTTCTCGTTAAGTGTCCCTATATCTCTACCCTGCATGCAGGGTCATAACTAGAGACGCGGACCCTAACCGAGACCTTTGAAGGCATTCTTGCCTCCCTCGAACAATTCTCACCATCAAACATATATATACATACATAACTTTTATTCTAGACCCTTCCTGCAGTCTAGTACAGAAAGGTCAGGTCTCCATCTTGACCCACCATAGTCTGGGTGATCATGCCAGATCTACGACACACCATGTTGTTATTTTAGCGGTAGTGCCCTCGCAGGTTGAGCCACAATAGGCTTTCTCCTTATAAGTATTCAATCAGGACTCAAAAATGACTCTATTGACTCGACTTTTATCCCATGCCGTTGCGCAGGAGTAAAACCCTCCTAGGTGGCCATACCCCTTTAAGTCTTTACTCCCTTGGCCAGACGTAGGCCCGCTGTTCAGGTTACGCCGATCAACAACCGACACTAGGGGTTGCTCCCTACTGATGCTAAACTTCACCGTTAGCTTGGTATTCTCATAAATGCCCTAAGATTAACACAAGTGGCTTGACAGTGTGTCGCAACAATACAAACCTACTTCGAGACTATGCAAAGGTCTATCACACATAAAATGTATTTATCAGTCCTCTTTGGGACAATAAAAAAAACCGCGACAATCTCTTCACATTCACAAAACAGAAGCACTGCCATATTCACAAGGTCGTGACCTCCCTACTTGATCAGAGCAAGAAAGTTACATCTCAGCGATATCTCTCAAATAAATCACTCTTACGGCCTCCAAAAATTTCACCAATGGCCAAACACAAATGTGGTCCTTCTCGTTGGTCTTTATCATTCAGAATCAACTTGCCATGCCATTAAATCTATTAACCACCTTTCATATGAAGGAGGTCTTACTCAATAGATCTCCCAGTCATCCCTCTCTCTCTAGGATGAACTTTCTCACGACCTTTTTTTAAAACATCTTCCCTCTCTGAAGATGAGTCTTCAAATAAGCAAAAAACTACCTTCCTACTCAAAGGCATCTCAACCATAAAACAACTCGAACTGAGAAACCAACTTATGGGTCCTCATCACAACTCAACAATAAACATTTGGCATGGTAAGCATTCGAGTTTCAAAGACTCATAAATCCCTTAGGATTCTTACTCTATTCACAAAAAACAGACTGCACTCCCTCTCCTTATACAATAGACTACACTCCCTCTCCTTATACCCGACCCTATCACCTGCCCGTGGGCAGATCGCACGAGTATATCGAAGAGTAGACAGTTCACATTCATTCACAACCAAAAAATACACAACACACGAGATGTTTCTCATACGTCCCTCACACAAAGTCATCATACATCAGGATAAAACCACACATGTGAGAGTGATTGCGATCATCATATATAAGGGAATAGTCTCTGATAAATCTTAACATCAAGCACACTTAGGGGTGGAATATCTCATCCAAATACACAAGTAATAGCCCAGATCCGCAACTCACTCGGACCAACCAAAACCCTCATAAATATGGTATAGGACTGACCATATTACCAAGAACGCACTGAAACATGAACTTTAATTATCCTTTCAATGAGTCAGAGAAAGAGTAACCTCACTAAACACATGGGGTCTCACTAAATTCTAACCCTCATGCCACTAAGAAAAGCCTCAATTGCAATCATACGCTGTATTTCCCTATATGTACAACTAACAGCGTAGGTACCCAAAGTTCTAGCAGAACAAAAACAAAAACAAAGATAAAAACTAACATCTGACCCAGAATGCACACTCCACTAGATCTTACTATGTCATAATGGCTATTGATACATAGGCAAGCCAGTCCCTACTCACTCATCTCCTCCTGGTTCTGCCTGTATAGCTTAACCCTACCCTCATCGACAGTCCGCTCCACCACTCTACCCTGTCTGCCAAACATCCTCCCACCACTCTCAGTAACCTTCCCTGCTGCCTTGTCGTTCAGGAACTTAGGACACTGTAAGACCCTATTCTCCCCATCCTTGCTGAAGAAGCAGGATAAGTCTTCCGATTTTCGGCCCCTCTTCTTTTTCTTCTAAGATCTCGACGATGAGGGTGTCTCACTAGCCTCCCTGGCCACCTCATGGCATTGGGGCATACCCATAGGCTCCTCATGTCTCGTCTCCCACTCCCGCGTACTCGGCTCTATCCGTATTCCAGCTCCCTCAGGCCTGTACTCAAGTGTATCTAACCTCTGAGGCCTGCCCTCGATGACATCCTCCATCACAACCACCGTCTCTCCCTCATGAGGCTCCTCCACCCGCTGCCTCAGGCGAAAACAGACTCGCCTCTTCTTGCATAGTGTTGACTGCCTCAAGGAATACATTCGTGGACCCCTCGTCAGACACAAGTGCAGACTCGCTGACAGCTGTCCGCGGCCTATCTCTTGCTTGTACTGGCACAGATTCTGCCGCTAGCCCAAAAGAAGCTATAGGTTGGATGGCAAGATTTGTAGGTGTTTGGAACTTGAAGGCCTCCTTTTTTGCCTCCTTTTTCGCCTTTGCCTCCGCTGGCTCCAGGATGACCCTTCCAATGGATGGCTCATGGGATGGATCTGTCATAGATGGTTGCCCAAATAAACCCTGCATTGCCTCACTCTGGATGTCATAGCGTTTTCTTTCATTCCAACCCCCCACTCTGGTAGGCGCCTCCCTCTCCATCCTTGTCGCCATATCTCGAGGCTGCTGCCTCAAGTCCTCGATAATGGCAGCTTGACTAGCCACGAACGCCCTAAGCTCTCGAACCTCCGCCTCAACTGCCTCCAAACGCACTCCATTATTTATTTTCTTCGTCTTTTTTCCAGCCAAATCATCTTCCAACATCAAATACCTATTGAAAGAAGTCTTGGTCAGGAAGCGGATCTTACGGTCCAGGTACTCATCTGTCGTCCTCGATGTCCCAAGTCCTACTCTCTCTGGAGCCGTCAACCCCTCGCCATACTGCCCCCAAAACTCATCCCACACCTCCTTGACCCCACATGGTCTAGGGGGCGCGCCAGGCGGCTGATCTGGGAGTGCCCTTGCCACCTCCAATCTCCGTCTTTCCTCCCGAATCTCCTTCATATGCTTCCTGACTCTGGCCCGTCTTTCTTCGGTTGTTTCTCATGTCGGCGCTCTCCCTCTGGTGAGATGGTCCCTTCCCTCTGGAATCTCGGCCAACGCCTCTCTCTCCGCCTGATGCGGTTCCCGTGGTGGCTCCATAGGCACTGGCCTCTCGATATCTGGGTTCTCCTGGGCATGCACAACCAAATAACTATTGATCGTAGAAAAAGCCTCTCTCCTCCAGCCAGTCCTCTCTCGCTCCATCTCTATCCTCGCCCCTGGCGAAAGACTCATATCTGGGGAAGGTAATGAAATCTCTCCCTGCTGAGCTCCTCCCCTACTTCCTGAGCGACATCCGGTACTACCTCAGGCCCGATTTTTGGAGCAAGCATCTGAGGTGGAGTATCCTCTCCAACCTCTATCACTTCCTCCATTACTCTCTCACTCTGAGCATCTCGTTCCTCCTCTCGCCCTGGCTCAGGGCCCCCCTCTCGTGCCACACCTCCAACCGACTCATTGCGCCTCTCGTTAGCCTGAGGCACCCTTCATCGCGATATGTCTAGGTGCGCTTCCAGCTCCTGCAATGGCCCTCCGGATGGTGGCACCTCCTCCCGTACGCGGTGAGGGGATCCTCTCAATCCTTCCCCAGTAAACCGCTGAAAAACCACTGGGCCAAGTCCGCACTCAGGATATGCCCCTCGCCCCTCAGCCTCCGGTACTGACTCCTCTTCCCGCCTGGCGAGTGTCTTTCGTCCTCCTCGAGATGGCACAGACTCTCTGGGCTCAGGGTTCCTCTGCCTCTTGCTCCTCTGCCGCCTCTCATCCCTAGGCTGAGGTGGCTCTGGTCATCGAAAAGCTTCTCTCAGGTGTGCCATGCAGCTCTCCCAATCTCGAGCCATATCCCTAATCTGACGGGCCAATGGTCTCTCTGTCTTTCTGGTCTATAGAGGTAGTGTCCGCGCTTACTCATCCCTCAATATGTTTTGCTCGTGCATGGAATGCTCAACAGCAGGGATGAACTCCTCCACATTCCCAATCTCTAGGCGGATCGGCACGCCATGTGGACCCACGGGTGACGATCTCAACTCCTCCATCCTCATCTCCACCTCTTGCCAGGTCCTCGCCTCCCTACGGATCCGAGTGATGGGCTCCTCAAATCGGCGAACTCCCCTCAACCTCTCTATCCTCTCTGCCACCGTCCACCCCATGTGCTCCGCAATGTCCGCATATCCTCGGAACTTGTCCAGGAAGAGCTCTATATCCCCGTCGTCATACACGGGTGTGTGCTCCCTCCGGTGAGACCCATGCCGCTCGTAACCCCCTCATGCTCCCAATGGCCTTCGCGGTGGTCGCGTCCCCCTCCCTCCTCTCGACATGGCTGGCTTCGTAAAGTCAGACCTGCACAATAGGCGAAGGAGACGATAGACGCACATTGGGGTAAGCAAACAGGCGGAACAGAACAGGCTCAAGCCAAACCAAACACACCCCTCCAATCCACGCATTCTATCATCCACGCTCTTCTAGGACCTAACTACCAACCCTTTCTACATTCATAGGGTCCTATAAAAAAAAGGGTTAGATTGTCTGTCTCACCTCTTCTCTTGCCACAAACTTTTTCAGCCTCGTTCCTAAAACCCAATCCTTTCATTCCGTTTCATCCAGCTTTTCAATTTGATACACGCTAAAATTCCCGCATCGCACAACCCTGTAGGGTCCTAACCACTTTTTGTCAAGTTTTTTGGACCACTGTTTTTCCAAGGATGAGCCGTACAACAATACAACATCTCCGACTTTCAATGGTACCTTTCGTACGCGGGCCAACTGGTCCCAACGAGCCTTGTCATCCATACGACTTTTCTCCACTTGATTGGACGCCCCCTGAATCCTTTCCTCAATCGCACCCACCTGTCCCGCTTGAATATCGAGCAATTCCTCGAAGGATAGGTTGGTTTCTAAGTCTTGACGTCTCCAAGTTTTTAAAAAGCTCTCAATTGGCAAAGTAGCATGCCTTCCATACGATAGCGTGGCTGGAGCGTACTTAATGGTCTTTTTTACCGTAATGTTTTATAAAAAAAATGTCGCTCTCAGGTACCTTAACCACTGATTAGGCCTACCTTCAGTCCACTTAGCCAGAAGATTCGTGATGGTGCTATGCCTCCTCTCTACCAGAGTATTTTCCTGAGGATGTACTGCCATGGTATAATTTGCTACCACGCCGTATCCTGACAACAACTCTTGCACCTCTTGGCAAATAAACTTTGATCCTCTATTTATCACGATTTCCTTGACGAAGGGATAACGCATGTAGTATTCCTCGACGCAGCTTACCAACATTGAACCGGTCTTTGTACGAATGGCACGACCATCTATAAAACCAGAGAGGTGGTTTCGCGCATCGAAGATGTAATTGTAGCCATGATCTCCGATCGACATGAACAGTAAGTCGAGATGCACTACAACACCCACTTCCTTCTCCAACCTTGGATGCAGTGGCTCTCCTGACCTCTGAGGAACCCTTTCTTGACAAGGTATACATGAACGATAAAATTTATTGATCATCTCCATCATCCCATACCAATAGTATAGCTCGCTTATTTTGGCATACGTGACACTAACTCCTCAATGCCCTCCTGCAATGCCATCATGAAGTGAGGCTATAACGTCAACATGACGGTTCCTCCCTCATACAACCCTTCTGGGGCGCCCTACTTACCTCTTTACAAAACGATGATTGTCTCTCACTAGGTAGAGATGCCTTATCTTTTGAGCCCTTTTGCTAGCATCCATATCCCGCGTTTCACCCGATAAGAGAAGTCCAAGCTCCAGGTAGATCCCATCATACTCCTCTGCACGGAATGCTTTTTTGATCTCCCCTTCCTCAAACTCGTTATCCTGGCTCTCTGACACAATATCTTCATTCTCCCCTGCAGAAGCGTATTGACGAGAAGGTGTATTCCGCCCATCAATTCCTCGTGCTTCTCTACTTGGTCCGACCCTTCTTCTATCGTTCTCACTTCCTTCACCAAACTATACGTACCTGTCAACGCTAACTTCATCATCCACCGGACTTCCTTGCCACCCTATGGGTCCTCTTCCTCAAAAGGTTTTAGCACTAGCGGTCCTCTTCCTTAAAAGGTTTTAGCATGAACTCTGCCCTTTGTTCATATTCCCTGGGTACAAGCTATATGGGATGACCAACGCAATTCGGCACCCGCAGGGACCACTTGTTAATATGAAGGCGGACGTCTTCCTCTTGATCTAAGAACCATCGACCGGGGGCATGTCCTCCACTGCCTCTCCCTTTTGCTTATCCTAGTTGATGAGACTTAACCCATCTGCCCTATTCCTATTCCCTGGAATCCGTTCCAATTCGAAATTAAACATTCAAATGTATGTTGACCATCTCGCGACGGTTGGATCCGATGGAACGTAATTTCTCAGCGAATAAGCAGGCGCGGCTGGGTCCACCCTCAATATGAACCTTCTGCCAAAGATATAATTTTGAGAAATCCTTAGGCAGTGAAGGACAACGAGAGTCCCCCTCTTGAACTGAGAGTAATTTCTCTCAGTCGTACAAAGAGTTCGGCTCTCGAACCTTAGTGGCCTCTCCTTCTCCTCGATATCTGTCTGAATCAGGACTCCCCCTAAGGCAGTCGGTCCAGCGTCCGTCTCAACGATGAATGGCCGCACCTTTGTGGCCTCATAGTCCGGTGATCCCAATACCAGTCCTTCTTTTCGAAACTCTTCCTTCATTTTAGCCACCATCTTCTCCTGCTCCTCACCTCAGATCCATTCCTGATCCTAACGAACCAACTTTCTCAAATGTCCAGTCTTGGCGGCAAAGTTATTGACGAAGGTTCTTCAAAACCCACACATATCGAGGAAGCTCCTAACATCTGTTATCGAGTGGAATGGTACTAGCCATTCAACAATCTTGTTCGTCTTCTTTACATCTGGTCGACGACCACCCTCACTACAGGCGAACCCCAGGATGGTAGCCTCCCTCATGCAGTATCTGGACTTGGCATCACCTGCCGTAAAGTTGTGCTCTTCAAGCAAACGTCGGACTTTATCAAGATCCTGAACATGCTTCCAGACAAAACGCCTTACTCCTGGCAATACCTCGTCACTCTCCTTCTTTCTCGGCCCTTTTACCGCCAAGTCGTCGATATATGGTTTGAGTGATATGCGGGTTGGCTGACTGCATGGCTTAAATTATATGTCATTGAACCATTGTCACCACATTAGTCTATCCTTGCGGAGCCACATTCATGTGGATCAGTCCTCGGGGCGTATGCATCGCTGTCACTGGCCTGTCTGGGGGATAGACCGGTAACTGGTCATATCCGGAGTAGAGGTCTATAAGCGAAATTATAGGCATCCCAGCACATGATTCTGACAGTGCGTTAGCGTTCGGCAAACCTCCCTCATCTCGCACAGTCAAAGCATTCAATCGCTGCAAGTCCCGCACCCACCAAAGCAAAATCATGGAGACGCATACGGCCCACTCGAGTAATCGGCAACATGTGTACGTATTTTGCCGTCGAGATAGTCCAACACCTTTTTCTCCTCCTCATGATTAGGATACCGCGTCCCTCTCAAATTTCACGGCTCATGTGGCACGGAATGGATCCGGATCATATGAATCTTATCTACATCCAATCTCCCGCGCTGATCGTCATCAAAAGCATAGGTGCAATGCCTCTTCTTCATTAGTTCTATCATCTACACTCTTTCCTGGGGTAATAGGAAATCAGACTCTCCCACTATTAACTTTTCTTTGTTCCCTTCATCGATACGGCACGACCCAACTGCGACTTGCTCCCTCATTCGCCGTATCAATCCTTGTTCCCATTCGTAATAAACCTCCTCATCTTCTGTGACGAGAACGGGACCACTACATCCATGGCCTTGTTCTACCTCCCCAGCCTGGGGACATTGTAGGACTTGCTCCCTCAGTGCCCGAATGACGTCTGGATCTGCCATCTCGTGCGTGGCCACTACATCCATGACCTTGTTCACATTGGATAGGCTGAGGGAAAACACCTCCTCTTGTGCCTCCTCTGATGGTTCGTCACGGAGCCTCCGATGCTCGTCCTCTCACTCTTCAATCGTGAATGACCCAGGGTTGGGTCGGTTCCTTATGCTTCGTGGACGTGTGTTGCGGCAAGTGGTTATCTCATAGTTCCCGTACGGTGGGTCACATAGGATCAGGATCAAAGTTTCGTCGTATTTGTTGAACATCAACGTCTCTGTCCTACATAGAAACGATCTCCCTGGCAAAATGGCATGGTCTACGTCCGGCATGACGAAGGAACAAGCTCTCGCTTTTACCTTCCCAATCTCGATATTAGATGTCGTTCCGCAAAATACGACCTTGCAATTGGCCCCATGCAGAATGCCGCAATCCGAGCGGTCTATCTCCAACCCAAACCTAAGCGCATCAACCTCCTTGATGATGTTCATCTCTGCCCCTGTATCCCCCATTGCTGCGCACTGCGATCTCTTTACCACCAGATCCACCATTCCGCAGGCCACACACTTGCAGTCCATCTTCGTCCTTGTTTCTGCCCATTCTGCCTCCTTTGGCAGAATCACGCTTAGATGGACATTCGGCACGAATCGTAAGGAAAACCTTCCTTTCAGCTCATTACGGAGCTTAGGAGCAGACGCCAGGATCTCCTTCAAGGTCACAAGGTCATTATGACCTTCAAGTAACTTGTCGATTACTTTCTCCACGTCAAACCCCTCCTCTAACCGGACCATATACTTCTTTTTCTTCGGCGCCGCATCGCGCAGAATCGGTTTGGCTTCCTTTTGGGCTCCCCTCTTCTTGGCCCTTTGCTCCACCCTTCGATCCTCCTTTTGGTGCAACCTCTCATCTTGTTCATCTTCGTTATCATCCTCCTCCACCTCCACGGCCTTTTTCCTTCGTTCCTGCTTTGGCTCCCTCCGAAGGGGTTCCTGGTTGGCACTTGCCTTTCTCTGGCCCCTAGTTTGGCAGCTTGCGCCATCCTCCCTTGCGCAGTAGGAGGCCTGAAGGTCATTCCAGACCGAGGGCCCGACCCCACGGTGGCTACTCCAGGGTAACCTTGTCGTCCCGGTATCGACTCTGGGCCGGATTCTTAAAGGAAGACTTTGGGGGTACTGACCCTCCATTCCTTTACTTCTTCACATATATCCACCAACTTTCGCTGGTATCTTCCCATTTTCTCCCACAAGTCCTCCATCTTCCCAGAAGGATTGATGCTGACTCCACTTTCTTATCCTCACCCTCTCCGTATGACTCAACGATTATAGGTTCTTCCTTTATACCTCTTGCCTGTAGCCTCTGAGTCACCTCTTCTTCACTTTCCACCTCGTTCACCCTTATTGGTGGGTCATCCTTTCCTGCCACAACCTGAACATGGCGGGTGGTGCTTGTCACGCAACTATCCTTTTCTGAGCTTCCGCCCTTACGCCGCCTGGAACCTTTCGGTCAATATACTCTTCGTACTAATCATATATGTCACCGTCCATATTGGAATAGATCAGTCCGGCCTTTTCATCTTCCCGTCTTGTATTGCAGAACCGTATTGTATAACTTTGCCTATCGCAATGCTGGCAAATAACGGTCCTCCAGTCAAAACGAGGCCTTTCATATCCTTGACCTCCCTGATTCTCTTGACTCCCTTGGCCTTGGTAGCCTTGGTTGTCCCATTGCCCACCTCGACCACCTCCATTCCTGCCTCGTCCTCTCCCGCCACCTCTTTCTCCATTCCTTTGGTTGCCCTGACCTTGATTTCCTCCCCCTGCCACACTGCCCTGTGAACTTGGTGCGAGCAATGGAGGTGGCGCCATGGGCTGGGCCTGCGCTGCAGGATAGCTTGGTGCCGACATACTTGCTTGGGGCCCAGCTTATGGTACCATCTGCCAGACAGAGCTGGACTTCCCCATGGCATGAAGGTGTTAAAGACAGGTCATGACCACCACCCATATGGCGGTACTTCCGCTTGCGAGAGCCCCGCGTTGCTTGACGGAGTCGTCATACTTGGCGAGGCTGCTGCTAATGCTTGGGGCGCTTGGCCCTTTCCGGGGCCTTGCCCTCCCTGCATTTAATTGCGCTGCTTGCGCAACGCCTTTGAAAGGTGTTGGGGCACTGGCTCCTCTTCTTCCCATTCTTCCCGAATGACCTCTTCTATCACTAGATCCTTCCATTTTCCTTTGATCGTTGTCACCACTTTCTTTTGTACTACGGCGTCTTTCCCATAACCCAACCCTGCAAGTACATCTGTTACGATCCTTTTCACCCCCGGGTCCCTGAGAAGGTCGCATCTCACTCCTTCCTTTTCCGCCTTTGCTGACGCATTTGATACTGCTCCACCTGGCCTAGACTCCCTTATTCTACCCCCTTGTCGATGGTGGCCCAGGTGAGCTTTGCACTTCCTCCTCCATGACTTGTCAACTCCGAGGCCTCCGAGGCAGTGAACAGCCCCAGGAAGATAGCACATTGTGCTTCTTCTGAAATTCCAAGGACCTTCCTTGCCTTTTTCTTAAACTCCTGCACAAAAACCCCGACTGTGGTAAAATCATCCCTGTTCATTGCCTCCATCCTCTGCATTCCGTCCTTGAATCTCGCCCAATTGCCATTGGCTGCGTTTATCACCCTTTCTACCTCCTGGTGGTGCCGATGGAGTACGCATTTTAGGATGCTTTGGAATTGCACCGCATCTGATAGCCCTACCAGTGTCTGTTCTACCAATTCTAACCATTCTCAAACTCGCTCTCCATTGAAGTGGAAGGTGTCGACTTTAGGAACATTGCTCTGCAACCTCTCTCGCCTGTCCAGGGCCTCGACCAAGTCATCAATTGTAAGGACCTTCCCGACACCATCGGCTATGCCTCTTGACATCCTGGCCGAATCTCTTACTCAAATTTTCCTGTTAAGAAAAGGAAAAAACTTTCATTCAGCGTCCCGACTTACCATGACGCCTATCAAGTTTCCTACACAGTCACTTAGCGGTCCAGATCTAATAATACTACCTCTTTCTTTCCCTTTGAACTCATCTAAGTAAGTCCCATTTCCACTATAGGATTCCCTATGTGATCTTTTTAACTCAAACAATCAAATAGATCAAAGATAAAACTTATTACGTTAATAACATCCACCCCTCATAGATAATTTGACAAGGCATCACGTACTCGATATTTCCTTATATACCTATTTTCTTCTCAATCCCATATCCAGATGTCGTTCCACCAAGAACAACGGTAGAGTTTCATTATCCCCGACAACGGTGCCACCTGTGAAGCGCATCTGTCCAACACCGCGCTAAATGGGGTTGGACCCTCCCGGCCGCATCACACAGGAGTTGGCTTATTCCTTATCGCCATACTCAAGGAGCTTCTGCAAGCCGCTCCGGTCGAGTGCGCCAGCCATACCTCTCGCGAGCCCCTACGACAACATAGGGCCTACACGAGGCAAAACTTACCTCCACCTTACGGGAGCTGTCACCTTCCTTCGGTGGGCGTATCCCCGTCGAGCTACAAGTCCACAGTACGAAAGTTAATCAGCTGCAGTCGCAGAGGTGGACCAGCCGAGAGGGCGTTTTTCGTTCGCTGTAGCATAGGGGGTACACGTGGTTTCACGCCTCCATCGGGCCCGCATGCGAATCGACACCTTGGGGGGCTGAGGTCCCAAGTGCGACCCGTCGTTGGTCGACTAGGACGCTTCCCGCATACCACGCGCACACCACTCTAAAGACATAAAAGTTAGAACACACACATCCACACACATCCACACACATATACAGAACGACACATACAAACAACGCACACAATCCTAGTCCCTTCAGTAGCCATCCCATAACTTTCCGATGCGGAAATCGGATAGGTGACGCGCGTGAGACTTAGTATAAAACCTCGCAGACATAGGGTCTTCTTATATTGACTAGCAATGTATGAATATGCAAGCAGTCGCGATGATGGCGTACTATGTAGTGCCCATAATCAAGCGGTCTCTCGTGGGTTTGAGTACCGCTTATGAGACTCAAGTGTCAAACACGAAATATCGTGAGGGTCTACCCCTTCACGATATTGCACAGCTGAAGGAACAGTTGTGCGGCCTCCGCGGCACCTCCGGCCTTTAGGCTGAGTATCCAAGTGGGCAGGGCAAATAGGCTCTGTGCGGGGGGTGATCCCTTCCATGCAGAGTCTAGGACCTGGGATGTCCTGGACAAGGACCTCGAATCCGAGTCCAGGACTAACATCCGACTAAGAATTCTCTTTAAGAAGCATACAACAAATAAAGGGGAGTTTCCTCCCTTTCTCAATCCCAATCCTAATTAAACCCTTAAGCGTGGGGCCCTCAGACCGCGCGAACACCCAAACATAGGTATGTATATGTACATATGTAAAAGAGGAATAAGTATGTAACGATTATTTCTCACAATGACAGTGGGACTCCTCACGGTCATATAAATGTATTTGATCATAGGCAATCAAATCCAAAGTCCGAACCACAGAACATACCTACAATCACATCAAAGAGTCAACCAAAAGTCCACACACTACACGGAGTCAACTTCAACCATTCTCTATACTCATACCCCTCGCTTTAGCCATGCACGCCCCAACCTTTGTCCAACCTTCCATAATTAAATACTCACTACCTTTGTTAAATGACCATTCAATAAAAGTCCAGGTGAAAACCTTAATAAAACAATAGAAACCACTAGGGTTAAAGTCTTTTAGGTTGAGTATTGAGGATGAATTGGAGTTGAGTCGTAGACCGACGAATCAGCAACCGACCTGTTATCAGTGATACCATAAGATGATCCTCGTAGGATCAAACTGAAACTAGTCGAGATCATGAATCATACGATCAACAGGACCTGTAATACATGATACCCAAGCTAAATTCGTAAGTGTATGGAGAATAAAGCTCCATAGCACATTCTCTCATCCAAGGTCCTCGTACTAGCTAAGCCTGTGCCTACCTCTAAGCCAGTACCCAACGCGAGGTAGACCTAGAGCAGCATCTCCCCTATTCAGGGTGGATTGCCAGAACTGCCACCTGTCAAAATACAGGTTAACTCCCTTAAATTAATAAAATTTCGGCAGCGGTTCCCGTAGTAAAAGTGTCTTCCTATAATTTATACTAACTTAAATATGAAAACAAAAACAATCTCTAATTCAGGAAAGTCAAATTTTGTTTAACTCCCCGAACTAGTAAAAATTTTGGCAGCACTCCCTTTAGAAGAAAAAAAAAATCCAGATTTTTATTAAGTCAGATATGAACCCATAGCAAACCTGAGTTCAACTAAGACAAAATTTAACTAACTCCTTAGATTTTGTACAAATTTCGGTAGCACTCACTTTAGAAAAATGTTAATCCAAGATTTATACAAAGCTAAGTTCAGAATCTTAAAGTGACTTTTGACTTCTCATGGTCCAATTTTGTTTAACTCCCTGAATTAACAAAAACTTGGGCAGCACTCCCTCTAGAAAGGAGACTCTCCAGAGTTTTACTAAGTCATATATAAAGTCAGACAAGTTGAACTTCGAAAAGACAAAATATGACTAACTCCTTGATTTTGTATAAATTTCGACAGCACTTCCCGTAGAAAAAGTGACTTACCAAGATTTCTACAAAACCAAGTATAATAAATGATCCCAGAAAATGCAAGAATTGACCTAAGTAAAATAAACTTAGCTCAGAAATGCAGAAATTGAAACTAACTCCTATGACTCTAGCACGTGGCGAGCAGCTAAAGCAACTACCTATCAATTGCAACTCAAACTAAGTAGTGATCTCAAACAGCCACATGAAAGCCAAACCACAAAGGTAAGTACTCTCACCAGCCCCAAGTCAAACTGACCAACGTAGTCTCCAAGTGATTTTTCCCTTATACCCAACTTACATAAGGCATAAAGTGAGACCACCTAATCTTATGGGAACCCGTTTGGCTCAACCATATAATATACACAAACACAGAGCACTACAACTTTTCTCTTCTTTGAACGCATGACAAGGTTAGCCAACCAAGTCGCCCTGGACCAAGGTTGTATATATCTCAAATTTATCTTTTAACGTAACATATGACTGAACCGGTCATCTTAGATCAAGGTTCGACCCATCCTTTCTTACCACAATTTTATTCTTAGTTCATACTCTTTTCAGTTTGTGGTAAGTCATAGTCAGACCATCCAATCTTATGAAAAAATGCCTGACTAGCCTGTTCATAGGTAAATAGTATAAGATATAAGAAATTTAACCTTTTGGTTCCAGCATGTGCGCGACTCCAAACTAGATCACCCAATCAGATGGGAACCTGTCGAAATTAATAAAACATAAAAAAACTCAAAGAAGCAAGGCAACCAAGCCATCCAATCTTATGGAAAAATGCTTGGTCCCTGAAAATCAAACACATACAGCCCTCGCAAGTCAAAGCAACCAGACAACCCAATCTTATGGGAACCTGTCTGGTCCTTCAGGCAATGAAAAATAAACATAGCACTGGGCTCTCCAATCTTATGGAGACTCTCCCAACTTTGAACAACGTTGTGGCGGAGAGCGAGCCACAATTTTGCATGCTTATTTCCTGCTGAGACGGTGCTCACCTCATCGGTCGAAGCAGTGAGGAGTGAGGCAACGAGGCTGCATACTGGCTAAGGCGCTACCCATCCTGTTAGTCGGAGTTACGTAGACCAGCTGCAAGATTACAAACTTATCTTTGGACGGGTTCGCTGATCATTTCTGGGAACGAAGGATGGAGCGAATCATGAAGGCTGGAGACTTTCTAGCTAGTCAGAGTGTTGCCTAACCCGTCTGAGTCATTGTGGTGTCGAGCGCATCGGTCCCGGGCAGGGCGGGACCCTCCCGGTCGAGTCACGCAGGAGTTGGTTGTAATCAAGATACACATCGAACTTCCGCAAGCTGCTCCGGCCGATAGCGTCACCCATACCTCTCGCGAGCCCCTACGACAAGATAGGGTCAACGCGAGGTACAACTTTACCTCCACCTGCGGGAGCTGTAACCTCCCTTCGATAGACGTATCCCCACCGAGCTACCAGTCCACAGTACGAGATCTAATCAATTGCAATCGCAGAGGTGGACCAGCCGAGGGTGTTTCTCGTTCGTTGTAGCATAGGGGATACGTGCGGTCCCACGCCTCTATAGAACCCTCACGCGAACCACACTGGGGGGCGGAAGTCCCAAGCGTGAGTTGTCACCGGTCGACTAAGACGCATCCCACTCACCACTTGTTACACCACCCTTAAAACATAAAAATTAAAATACACACACACACACGAAACAACACAAGAACATTATTAATCCCTTTTGTAGCTATCCCATAACCTTCCGACGTGGAAAAATCGGATAGGCGACACTCGCGAGGTTTATATTAAAAACCACGTGGATGCAGGGTCTTCTCACATTGACCAGCGATGCATGCTTACGCAAGCGGTCGCAACAATGGTGCATTATGTAGTACCCAAACTCATGCGGTCCTCGTTATTCTCCAGGCTCGCAATTGACACTCAAGTGTCGGCTGACACATTCCTTGAGGGGTTAATCTCTCAACGCTAGACAGCCGCCGAGTGTGGTTGAGAACCACACCCCGTTCTGCACCCTGCGGAGAGTGGGTGGCACACATGTTCATACATGTGGTGGCAATCGTCTCTTATTGCCCTGGAGACCAGCTTTATCATCCAGGT